TCAAACGCTTAAGTGAAAGTTTGAGATGTAAAACGAGGTTGTGATAGTCGGCTGCGTACTCATGTCGCCATGTTTAGAACCGCGGAGGCTGATATGCGCATGCGCTCGATTTGGAAAGCACATGCTTTCTGCGATGAATCCAACTTTCGACACCTGTTCGCTTGCATGTAAATTATCTTTCAAATGTGGATGAGTGTGTACATGGGAAAGCGAGGTAAGCAGGTAAGTAGATGAGTAGGTAGAAAGAAAGAAAGAAAGAAAGAAAGAAAGAAAGAAAGAAAGAAAGAAAGAAAGAAAGAACTGTAGGAGCTTAAAGAAACAAACATATATGGAGAAGGAGGTTAAGAAAGAAAGAAAGAAAGAAAGAAAGAAAGAAAGAAAGAAAGAAAGAAAGAAAGAAAGAAAGAAAGAAAGAAAGAAAGAAATGTAGGAGCTTAAAGAAACAAACATATATGGAGAAGGAGGCTAAGAAAGAAAGAAAGAAAGAAAGAAAGAAAGAAAGAAAGAAAGAAAGAAAGAAAGAAATGTAGAAGCTTAAAGAAACAAGCATATATGGAGAAGGAGGCTAAGAAAGAAAGAAAGAAAGAAAGAAAGAAAGAAAGAAAGAAAGAAAGAAAGAAAGAAATGTAGGAGCTTAAAGAAACAAGAATATATGGAAAAGGAGGCTAAGAAAGAAAGAAAGAAAAAGAAAGAAAGAAAAAAAAAAGAAAGAAATGTAGGAGCTTAAAGAAACAAGAATATATATGGAAAAGGAGGCTAAGAAAGAAAAGAAAGAAAGAAAGAAAGAAAGAAAGAAAGAAAGAAAGAAAAGAAAGAAATGTAGGAGCTTAAAGAAACAAGCATATATGGAGAAGGGGGCTAAGAAAGAAAGAAAGAAAGAAAGAAAGAAAGAAATGTGCAGGTGTGTATGTCTATATTTATGAACATAATAGAGAAAAGTTGCAAATAGTCGTAATTACCTAATTTTTAATTTTTTTTATATATCGTTGTTTTATTTTTATCTGTCTATTGCTTTTTTGTTTTCTTTCTTGTTATTGTTATCAGACAAGAATTGATATATATGCTCATATATATATATATATATATATATATATATATATATATATATTTATAATACTATATTTCTTCATATACATATATATATATATATATATATATATATATATATATATATATATATATATATATATATATGTTCCATGTTTGCCGTTATATATCGATAAAAATACAGATAAAGATCAGCAGGTGCCTTTTTCAAACAAGAGATCATGTAAAATAAATTGTTTCTTTCTTTACTTCTTTTTTTTTTTTACTTATTCCTGTTTTTCTTTTTTCTTTTTTCTTTTGTTGCACTTTGTTGGTTTTTTTTTTATCTTTTTTTCTTCTTTTCTTTCTTTACTTCTCCCTTTCTTTTTACTCTTCTCTTTTTCGTTCTTTCTTTCTTTCTTTCTTTCAGTCTTTTTCGTTTTACTCCTACCTTTTATTTTCTTTCAGTCTTTTTTTTTCTCTTTACTCCTAGCTTTTTCTTTCTTTCTTTTTTCTTTCTCTTTACACCTAGTTTGTTCTTTCTTTCTTTTTTCTTTCTTTCTTTCTTTCTTTCTTTATTTATTTATTTATTAACGTCTTTCTTTCTTCCTGTCTTTCTTTCCTCATATATTCCTTTCCTCATTTTTTACTTCTTTTTTCTTTCTTTATTTCTTTATTTCTATCAGTCTTTTTTCTTCTTTCTTTCTTTCATCATTTTTTTACCCTTCCTTTTCTTTCTTTCTTCTTACATCTTTCTTTCTCTCCTATCTCTCGACTTTTTTTTAAATTTATTAATGTATTTCTTTTCTTCTTTCTTTATTCCTTTCCTTTGGCTTCTTCCAGTTTTTCTTTCTCTTTTTATTATGCATGTGTTATATGACATCATCTTCGTCCTGAGAACTTTTTTGTTTATTTCTCTTTTCTTGCTTTTATTTGAAATATTGTGGAATGTTAACATCTTGTGTCATGATATTCTCTTCGAGTTAAGACACCCCTCAACGAGAATTTCCTTGTGGTTCTGTAGCACTAATTCACAATGTTCAAAGATGGATGGTCTTTGCCAATACCCTAGACTCCATTCGCTCAAAGCCATTTTTAACCACTGATCTTAGAATATACACCTTACAGTTTAGATATTTCTGAACGAATTTGGCACCATTAATGACATCGAAATGAATGACTCGATCCGACGAGGCTAGTTAAAAATATTTTGTCTTTGCAGAATTTCTCTTTAAGATCGACATTATTAGCCTAAACATAAGTGACATTTTGGTCAATCGGTGGTTTGAAGCATTTTCCAAACATTCTTTAAATTACTGCAATAAATTAGACAGTGGAGTAGTGGATAGCGGCTCCGATTGAGAAATCGGAGAGCCGAGTTCAAATTGCAGTCACTCGAAGGTATGAATTCTCTACTTCTCCTCCCAGATATGGGTAAATATCAGGACAGGTCGAGACTTGGATGGCAACTGGTCTACTGCAGAAATAAATGGCAATCTACTGCGGGAAAAAAATCTGCATCGTCAGTCATGTATCGAAAGATACATGATCGCCTAAGCGTGTATCACGCATGGCACATACTGACTGATTACATATTGCTTCGACTTATGTTAGCTGATTACTAATAACGCCAAGATGAGAGGTGGACTTACTAACAAAAAAATTAAAACAAAATCATTGCTCCAAAAATTAAGACTAGAAATTTGATTAAATGAAAATAGTTAATTGGCTCTTTAAGTAAGTGGATTTTGAAAAAAAAAAATTCATTTTTGTTAGAAATATATTTCAAAATAGAGTTGCTTACAGGTTTTGTTTTACATTTCACCCCAAGCAAGGCGATAATGCCACAAAGACGTTAGGAGTTACTAGCGGTTAACGGAAAAGAAAAGGCTGTAGGAGAAGCTACTGGAAACCCAATCTTAAACAGGAATCAAGAGATAAACTTCTCTTCCTGTTCAAAAGACGAAGGAATTTGAACTGGGCAATAGACGAACCTATCTACTCTTATTGAAAAACTGAATAAAAATAAAATTCCATCATAAAAGAGCAATTCCAGTTTTTATTGGAGAACTTTCAGAGGGAAATTAACAGGAGATAACTGATAACTGACATCCATTAAACATGGCAAGTGGAACTAGAACAGTCTACCCCAGTTAGACATTCCAACCACCTGAAGAAGGCCGTAACGTTATAATAAATATGGTGACAAAGATGTAAGCAATGTACATAATACATCATCTCAGAAATATAGAGAGATAATGATCATTGTATTCATAAACGAATTCCGAAAGTTGAAATCCTCATATCTTCTTACAGAGATATTTCATGAATTATCCAAATATAATTTAATATAAGGTATATGTTGCACTAAAAGGCAATACAGTTATCTTGTTCAATTTCAACCACACACAGACATACACACATATACATATTTAGTTGGTCATCGAGATTTTGCAAATATTATTTATTATTGCATTGACAAAATTTGTATCTTTTTTTTCAAAATAGAGTTGCTTACAGGTTTTGTTTTACATTTCACCCCAAGCAAGGCGATAAAGCCACAAAGACGTTAGGAGTTACTAGCGGTTAACGGAAATGAAAAGGCTGTAGGAGAAGCTACTGGAAACCCAATCTTAAACAGGAATCAAGAGATAAACCTTTGTTCCTTTTCAAAAGACGAAGGAATTTGAACTGGGCAATAGACGAACCTATCTACTCTTATTGAAAAACTGAATAAAAATAAAATTCCATCATAAAAGTGCAATTCCAGTTTTGATTCAACATTTGTAAGCTTTACTGTTTAATAAAGAAATTTCAATCACTGTTTTCATAATGCAGATTTGAAAATTGAAATCTTTGTGTGTCTTACAAAATCATCAATTGTATTATCCAATTATTTATTCTTCTGTTTCAATCACATTCATATCCCATGCCTGCCATAAAGTAATGATAAACAATTTAATCTCCCAAGGTATATTTAGTGAGTTCAATCCTCGCTCAGGGAACTGTGATTCTTAATCATAGTAAACTAGACTAGATACCATCTATTTAAAAGGACTGGCAATGATCATTGTATTCATAAATGAATTCCCAAAGATGAAATCCTCATATCTTCTTACAGAGATATTTCATGAATTATCCAAATATAATTTAATATAAGGTATAGGTTGTACTAAAAGCAATACAGTTATTTTGCTCAATTTCAACCACACTCAAATATACGCACACACATGCACATTAGTTTGTCATCAAGCATTTGTGTAAGAATCACGACTCTGCATCTGATCAAGATTTTGCAGATATTATTTCTTATTGCATTGACAAAATTTGTATCTTTTTAACACTCGATGCCTATTCAACTTGTTTGCATATTTCATGGAAATATTTTAGAAAACTAAAGGATATTGAAAATGATTGACAACTCAAACGCCATGCTAAAAGTCATGTCAAAGTTCAATTAAGGTAGACATTAGGTGTTTTTTTCAGCCCAAGCAAGGCGGGAAGCCACTAGGATGCAAGGGGTTACAGAAGATTTGGAGCGAGATCAAATAAGAGTGATACAGGAAAGGATGAGAAGGATAGTGGATAGATCAAGGCAACTGGAGATCTCGATTGACATTACATTTGAATAGCTGGAGATTATAGCTCTCAGGAAAACTGGAATACGGAAGGGAGTTCCACAGTCGAGAGGCGCGAGACATGAAGCTATTGGAGTAGAAGAGACGGCTACATTTAGGAGTTTCGACAGTGAAGGGGTGAGAGCGGGATGCCAGCCTCGTAGGGCGCTTGAACTCATGAAGTCTGGGAACCAGCGAATGCAGCTCCTCGGAGCAATTGCCATGAAAGTATTTGTAAAACTGACAGAGAGAGGCGACGGCGCGTCTGTGAGAGAGCGACTGTAGACGAGATGCCAGAGTAGGGCCAATTATATTGCATATCCGCCTCTGGAGCCTATCAAGAACTCCGAGGCAAACAGAAGGGGCTCCAGACTATATATGGCAGCAATACTCCATGCAAGGGCGAATTGTTGATTTGTAGATCTGGAGGTTTAAAATAAATCATTTATATATATATATATATATATATATATATATATATATATATATATATGTATATTTGCAAAATTCGTCATAAAAGAACAATTATTCATAAATAGATAAATAGCGAAAATTTTATCGAAATCCGATGATTAATTGGTTTTGATAGATTTAGTTACATGCTGTTGCTTATTGAAGACAAGAATTTGTCTCGGACTAACATTGAAAAAATAAAGTTTACATTATGAATCCTGTAATCAAATCTGTTTCTTTACTTTGTCTTTTTAGTGAAAATAAATTTGATTGTAGACTCTTTTGGTTTATGGAAGTGTCTCAAAACCTTTTTGTTTTCAATTTTACATCTCTGTAAAAAGTAATTGAATTTTTTTTTCTTCTCTCTCATTCTTGCAAAATCTAGAATACCTTTGTAACTTTAATTCTTCTAGAGAAGATTGCTTATGTATGAGAAAAAGTACACGCATCTACGTTTACTTTACAGGTTTTTCCAGAAATGACCCATTTGAACTTCCTTTTGAACTTCCATTTGATCGCTTAGATGACAATTGGAAATATGTTGAAAATCAAATAAAGATTGTGACAAAATATTGTCTACAATAATGTTACCAAAACAGTACTTATTTTATTTTGTGTCTTATTGTTTGTTAATGAACTATAAAATACAATATTCTTTTTTCTTTACCAAACATGAATCAATATGCCCATGAGAGACCAATCTTATGTGTTTGATCTTTTATAGGCCAGCCAAGGAAAATGGCATTGACCCCCACATAGATAACCTACATCCAACTAAAAGACATCACACTATAAGTCCTTTAGGAGGCAGTCGCGTGAGCCCAAATGGGGTTCTGAATTTAAACTCTGGGGGACCAATACGTCTTGGAGACAAGTTTGTCACGGGAACTGCGAGAACGTGAACGATTGGAACAGGAAAGAGCTGAAAGAGAACGTTTGGAACGTGAAAGGGATCGGGAATGACATTATCCAAATTACAGTAAGTTATCAACCTGTGAACAGAAATTTTGAAACTGCTGGTTAGTGTACCTACAATAAAATGGATGCTGGTTGGAGACAAGAATTTGTCTCTGACAAACATTGACAAAATAAAGTTCCTGCAATCAAATGTTTATTTACTTTGTCTTTTTAGTGAAAATAAATTTGATTGTAGACTCTTTTGGTTTATGGAAGTGTCTCAAAACATTTTGTTTTCAATTTTACATCTCTGTAAAAAGTAATTGAATTTTTTTCTTCTCTCTCATTCTTGCAAAATCTAGAATACCCTTGTAACTTTAATTCTAGAAAAGATTAGGCGTGAGAGAAAATAAATGTATTAACTCTTACATTTATTTGACAGGTTTTTCCAGAAATGACCCATTTGAACCTTTATTTGATCGCTTAGATGACAATTGGAAACATGTTGAAACAGTAAAAACCCACCCCCTTGAGAATTTTGTGATTCTATAGCACCAGTTCACTATATTCAAAGACGAATGATCTTTTCCAAGATCATTAGGTTTCACTCGCTCAAAGCCATTTTAACCGATTATCTCGGCTGATAGTTGAGATATTTCTGAATGTTTTCTTTAAAATAACCTTTACGTTGAAGTACAATGATTCCACCATTGACCTTTAGCGAATATACTCTCATCCGCCACCTCCAGCCATTTCTTGAGTTTTGATCACTGGACTTTGATCCCATTGAAAATAAAATTTCATCCAAGTCAAAAATATTAGCAGTTTTACTGTTTGAAAATATGTCATTGAATCTGATCCATTCTAGAATTTAAAAAGGAACCTGGTGATGCCTGACTTTTGGCAGATGTCATTACATATCTCCACTAAGGCTGTATTAGAGAGAGATTTTCCAATTCAAATGCTGATTTTCTGGGTATGGAAATTTGGACCAGATGACTAGACACAAACTTTATAGCCTACTTCATTTAAATATAATTTTTTTTTAAATAGAAGTAAAACAAGAATGAGTTACATTAAGTAAGCAATTCGTAAAAAAAATAAAAATAAATAAATTCTTGGAAGAGGCTAACCATGACTGATCAATAGGCATTTTTATTTAAGATTTTTTTTTTAAGCATTACGCCCCGAGCAAGGCGTGAAGCCACTAGGATGCAGGGGGTTGCAGAAGATTTGGAGCGAGAGCAGATAGGAGCGATAGAAGAAGGGATGAGGAGAAGGATAGTGGATAGATCAAGGCAACTGGAGATGTCGATTGATATTACATTTGAATAGTTGGAGATTATAGCTCTCAGGGAAACAGTAATAGGGAAGGGTGTTCCACAGACGAGAGGTGCGAGGTATGAAGCTATTGGAGTAGAAGAGACGGCTACATTTAAAAGTTTCTACAGTGAAAGGGTGAGAGCGGGATGCCAGCCTCGTAGGGCGCTTGAATTCACGAAATCTGGGAATCAGTGAAAGCAGCTCATCAGAGCAATTACCATGAAAGTATTTGTAAAAAAAGACAGAGAGAGGCGACGGCACGTCTGTGAGAGAGTGACTGTAGACGAGATGCCAGATCAGGGCCAATTATATTACATATCCGCCTCTGGATCTTGTCAAGAACTCCGAGGTAAACAGAAGGTGCCCCAGACCATATATGGCAGCAATACTCCATGCAAGGGCGAATGGTTGATTTATATATTTGAAGTATCGATTCCGGGGAGAAAAATTTCCTGGCGTGGCACAGAGAGCCAACTTTCCTCGCGATGGACGAAGCAATTGACTCAATGTATTTGTTCCATCTCAGGTCAGCAGTCAACGTGAGACCGAGCAGACGCAGAGAGTTGCTCTCAAGAAGTTGACTATCAGACATTCTAATGGGGGGGGGGGCAGGGAAGAATCTCTATGGTGATTAATAGAGAGTAGTTTAGTTTTTAAGGCGTTAAAGTTGACCAGCCAATTCTTGCCCCAATTAACAACCGATTGGAGGTCCATTTCAAGACGCATGGCCAGGTTAGTTTTGTCAGCGACACTAGATTTGTTTTTGAGGCAGGAGTAAATTGTAGTGTCGATGCCAACTTGGGAATCTATGGCGTCAGGAAGGTAAAAACTTTTTATATCTTAACTCCACATATAATCCTAATGCAATACATTTTTTTTTATATCGTATCTTAATTTTGTATTTTTCTTTTGATGTTTTTAATCACCATGCAAGGCAATGAAGACACTAGTAGACAGTTAAGAATTAAGAAGAGAGAAGATAGCGATTGACGTTGCATTTAAATTTTTGAAGATCAAAGTTGACAGGGAAACAAGAAGCCGGAATTGGGTTCCACCAGCGAGAAATGCGAAGGAAGAAACTACTAACATAGAACCTACGGCTAAATCTACCCATTTCAACTGTAAATTGATGAGAACTTGCCTCCAATCTTGCAACGCGCTTAAATTCATAAAGTCGAGGTACCATAGAGGAAAGTTCATCAGAACAATTACCATGAAAGTATTTACAGAAAAGACACAGGGAACATACGTTACGGCGGCGAGAAAGTGACTGAAACCTAGATGCCAGGTCAGGATCAATAACATTGCAGATTCGTCTTTGTATTTCATCAAGAATCTCTAAATACATAACAGGAGCACCAGACCAGATGTGTCAGCAATATTCAATACAAGGGGGAATTGTAGACTTACTAGATGGTGTGAAAGTGACTGAAGACGAGATGACGATTCACAACCAATAATATTACAGATTCTTCTTTGGATGTTGTCAAGAATTTCTAAATATATAGCAGGTGCACCAGAGCAGATGTGACAGCAATATTCAAAGCAATAGTAGAAATGCCTTGTGTATAAAATATTAATTGGCATCGCAATTTGAAAAAAAACTTCGCATACCATGTTCATGAACGTTTATCGCTAGTTTGATTTCTTTACCTAGGACAAAATGAGTCTTTTTTTGTTGCAATGCATAATGCGTGAGTTTATTTTCTTACCTCGAATTTTTTCCTGTAAGTTTACATGTTATTTCGTACTGAATTTTCTTTCATCCATTCATCCATTTCCACACTTTTAGAAGTTTTTCAGAATTTTCTTTGTTCTTCGGCTCAAAATATAATTTCTTAAAAACTTCTCAAAGCATTTCTGACATGTGTTTACCTGCTGCATTTATTCTTCTGCACTTTACCCAGATTAAACATCAACAATAAAATATTGTATTATATATATATATATATATATATATATATATATATATATATGTATGTGTGTGTGTGTGTGTGTGTGTGTGTCAAATATGTGGTGCAGTTCAATTTATATTACATGAATCATTCATACAAGAAACAGATTAGAGAAGTTAATGATATAAATGGCAAGAATACATCTTCGCAAACAAATTTTTTAAAATTACATTAATCCACGAACCTCTAGAGGAATATTGTGATCCCTGTTTTTAATAAATTCAACTTGTATAAGGTCTTTTTTTGCTAGTACTTTCATCTGTACATACAGAATTATCAGGCATGGAAATTGATTTGTTTTTTGTTTTTTTAAATTCTTCCAGGTAACAACGGGACACGAAAAATTAGATGTGAATCGAAATATACTTTTTAGAAATGTGTTATTTTTAACTGTAAGAAATTCTGGGGCGTTGTAGTTATTTTAGTAGTTTTTTTTTTCAGTCGATGTGGTATCAACTAAATTGTTCAATAAGTAGATTACATCGACTGAAAAAAAACTACTACAACAAAAGAATTCTCCAATTACCATATTACTAAAAAAAAAAAACGCACTCTCCTTTAAATTTAAAAAAAATCAACCTTAGTGTCCTTGATAGAGGTCCTTGGTAAAATCCAAAGAAGAATCAATAGAAGAAGTGGTCCTGATCTCACGTCTTTCAAAGCTGCCTCACTCTGTCTTTTCTATAAATACTTTCATGGTAATTGTTTGGATGACCTCTTCGCTATAGTACCTAAACTTTTTGAATCTAAGTGCAGTACTAGATTAGCGACTAGGTCTCGTCAATTTAAAGTTGAGTTGACTAGATGCAAAAGTTCTATGCTAACAGTTTTTTCTCTCGCATCTCTTGTGGAACGAAAAAGATTTTTTTTTTATTATTAACTTATATTTTTTCATCTTTTTTAGAACATTTAAAAGTTTAGTTAAGAATTTTGCTTTTCTTCATATTGAAATAAAAAAGAAAAAAAAAACAGGAGGATATTATCGTCGATGACAATAAGGAAAATAAAAAAAAAGTATGGTGGCCACAAATGACCAAAAACCCGAAACCGGAAAAAAATACACCAACCGAAAATTAGACAACTCAGAATAAAAAGGACAACAACAACTACATCAGCAGCAAAGATAATGTAGCGGCCGAGGAATCGCCCTCTTGCTGGAAGTCATTCCCCACCCCCCAGAAGTGTATAATCAACATTGCAGAATTCCTAGAGAGAGCCAAGTGTTAAGATGGGCTCTTGGTAGAATCCCAGGAATTACAGAGGGTTGAGAAAAGAATTTTGCTCATCTTTTTTGTCGACAAGTGTTCGCCCCAATTTTACCTCTCCACAAAAAAAAAAACACCGTGAAAAAAAATCAAAGTCCTTGGGGATTAAACTGCAAAGAGTAATCAAGAGTAAAGGTTACTTCATGTGGGACGTACTGTTACCCACGCCTGCCGACTGTGAGGGCGCCTCCAGTAGAGATTTCATAATCAAAGACCTGATAATCCGCAAGATCAGAGGGAAGCTCCGAAGAGCGGAACTTCTGTCCCCGGAAGCCCCCACGGATAAAGCAGGCACATTTCCACTCCTTCTACAAGTTCCAAGGGAGATGACCCTGCCAGCTACAGCAACAAGATGAGAGCAATTAAATTAAGATACGAGCCGACTTTTGAGAAAAAAATTAAAAAATGGAACAACTGAAAGAAGCGCTAAAGTTTAAAAGATCACAGGAACCTCCAGCAGTGTGCCCCACGTTCTCGGTACCGTCTTCTTCTTCTTCAATCAAAAAAAATATCATGGCTCCACATC